GTGAAGAATCTCACTTTATATTTAAAAATAAAAAATACTTCTACTAAACTCCATGATAAATGTTCCAGAGACACTCTTTGTCGTGCAACTCGGTGCTATAATATTTAAAGTGGACTAGAAATTTAAATGCGGCTTCCATGCGATACCTTGGGGTAAATAAGAATAAGTACCAGTAATCTTTAATGTGATTTATGAGTCATCAATTATCTTTTAATTTTCTTTATCAGCTATTACTAATCTGATTAAACTTACTTCATACTGTGTGGTTTTGATTTTTAAAATTTACTTTTCATATATATATATAAGAACAACCACAAAATCAAATGATTTAATTCACGGAATAAAAAAAAAAAGAGCCAGGCTGCTATATCGGTTGGAAAAAAAAATTAGCTATGAAAGATGGAGGGCTGGTGGAGGCCACCTTTATTATATTATTATTAATAATATGAATATTTTCTCTCACTAAGATATTGAAACTAGAGAACGGAGAAAATATTCTAAAGGTAGGATCCCATTCGGTCTAGATTTCCAGGATGAGATGACGATGGGATACAAAGGTGTTTTCCGTGGGAATGATTCGAAGCAACCAGCGTTCATACTTGATATAGAGCCTGTCTGGAAATGTGGTTGCTGTTGCTTTTCAAATAGTTTTTCATGCCAAAATGCATGCCAATGATGTTTTTTTATTTTTTAAAAATTAATTTTGACATCAGTACATCAAAATAATTTGAAAACATTAAAAATATATTAATTTGAAGTTAATAAAAAAATAAAAAAAAATTCAAATTTTTTCAAAAGCGCTTTTGAAACGCGGAAACAAACAGGCTCATAAAGTGACCGTTTCGAATTCGAAGACTGATTCCTGGCAATCGTAGAAACGGTATGGGAATAATAATTAAAATGAGAATACATAATTCGAACAAAAATGTCGTGCTGTGCAGGTTTGAAGGCATTCTTTCAACTCTGACAAGTAATGATGTATATATACAATTAATTAATTATTTTGCTAATAAAATAGATTATCATAATTAAATTACAAGAAAAATTTGTAATGGAAAATGGAAAAACAAGGAAACAAAGAGACATGGTATTCAATACCTTAATTAACTGTTTGATTAGTAATTAATGTTTTTTATACTAGGTTATAGGAACTCTTATTGCCTTGAAAACGAGGAAAAGAATTTTCTAATAACATGTGCCCTTGGCTTGTTTTGAATTCTCTCTATTCATTGAAACTTTTGTAAATTAAAAAGATCATTTTGTCATCGTTGCGATCAGTGTCAGCGCAGAGATTATTGAAGCAATCAAAATTCAAAGCCTTGGGCGTCATCAATGGCGCCTTGAATCTTCCTCTTCAAGCATCGTCATAATCCCCAAGCTTTTGGTGGGCTCGTCACAGGCCCCATGCGTCACTGAACCACTGCCCAAAAAAATACTAGAGCCTGATCTTGAGGCCCGGAAAATTAAGACCAGAGAGCAGAGCCTTTCTGGCCGAACTTCTTTCGCGGTAAAAAAAAAAAAAAATGTTTGAAAATACGAATCAATTATAATTTTAAAATATTTAAATATTTTTATTAAAATTATTTTTTATATATTTTAAATTTTTTTATGTGCTAATCATAAAAATTATTTTTAAAAAATAAAAAATATCTTTAAAAATAATTATAACTATATTTTCAAATAGTTCAAAAAATGCTTGGGAGAGGTGTTATATGGAGTTTTCAAAAAAAATAATTTTTTAAATTATTTTTTTAGTATTTTTCATGTATAAAAATTAAAAATAAATTTTTTTAAATAAAAAAATAATATATTTTTAAATAAAAAGCGAAAAAGCAACTGATAGATTTCTACTCTATCCAATCTTTTTTTATTATATCTGTTTAGATCAGAGCTACACATTGGGTTTCACAAAACGTGATGGGCAGGTGATATCTAACTTCTCTGTTCATAGTTTTGGGCCTATAGGCACAGATTCATAACTACAGAAGCTGCTAGGAGGAATTCATTTTCAGAGTCCATAATTTAAGTGGGAATGGACATAATCTTTATTTTGGCGGGCAGAGGAGCGATCCCGTAAGATATGTGTGTGTGTGTGGGCGCGCGCGCGCATTCACACACACACAAGTCGTCTCGGAATATAAAATCCTTTTTTAGCAGCACGTAATACTTTAAGCCTCTGCATTCAATAATCATCTTATATTTTACTTGTGTTATTTTTGTCAGCCTACGTGCTTTACATGAAACGATTGTTCCTGTCTTCTTCGTTCTTTTGCCATGTACGAGATGAAATGTTTACGTGTTGCCGCAATATGAAATAAATATACTTAATAATATTATAATTATAAATTAATGATAAATAATAAAAATTAAGGGTTGGATAAAATTAATATTTATAATAAAAAAATTATATTAATGATAAAAAATTTAGAAATTACATAAAATAATTTGTAGCAATCCATAATTTTTTGTAATGAAAGATGTATTACTTTCCTCATATGATTTAATTTTTAAATTCTTTACCAACTCAATATTAAAAAAAATTAACAAAGATAATTTTAAAAAAATCTATAATAATAAATACTGTAACAATTCACAATATTTTATAAAGAAAAATATAGTGTTTTTTGTAGTAAGATTGACAAGGATAATTTAAATAAAAATCATAAAAAAACCATAGAGAAAAACACTATAGCAATCCATAGTATTTTATAATGAAAGCTACAGTGTTTTTCCTACATTATTTAGCTTTACTATATAAAGATAATTTTTTTAAAAATCATAATTGAAAAAAAAAAAGTGAAGAAACATTGCAGCAATCTACAATGTTTAAAAAATAAATTACAGAGTTAAATTTTCAACTAGTTCGGTATTAAAAAAATAAAATCAACATTGCCAATTTTTTAAAAAAATCATAATAAAAAAAAAACAGGTTAGAAACACTATAGTAATTTACAGTGTTTGTAAGGAAAGCTACAATACTTCTCCACATTATCTAGCCTTACTTGTAATTATAATTCTCAACTAGCTTAATATTCAAAAAATAAAGTCGACAAAAATAATTTTAAAAAAATCATAAAAAATCATGTGGAGAGATATTATAGTAATACACGGTGTTTTGTGAGGAAAGCTGCAATGTTTTCCTCACATGATTTAGCTTTATTGTAATTATAATTCTCAACTAACTCAATATTAAAAAATAAAATCGATAAAAATAATTTTAAAAAAATCATAATAGAAAAACCATGTGGAAAAATACCATAGCAATTTATAGTATTTTTTAAAAAAATTACAAAGCTAAATTATAACTAACTCAATATTAAAAAAATAAAACTGGAAAGTATAATTTTCAAAAAAATCACACAAAAAAACATAAAAAATCATGCAGGGAATTACTATAGCAATTCATAATGTTTTTAATAAAAAATTACAAGCTAAATTCTTAACAAGTTCAATATTAAAAAAAATCAAGAAGTATAATTTATAAAAAAAATCATAAAAAACAAAAAAAAATGAAAAAACTCTGTAGTAATCTACAATGTTTTATGAGAAAAACCACAGCTATAATTCACAATCAACTCAATATTAAAAAAATAAAAAATAATTAAAAAATCACAATAAAAAACTATGTAAAGAAACATTGTAGCAATTTACAATTTTTTAAATAAAAAATATATAAAATTAAATTTTTAACTAATTTAATATTAAAAAAATACAATAAACAAAGATAATTTTAAAACAAACTAAAAAAAATATTATAATACTTCATAATAATATGCTAGAAAAATTATAATGTTTTTTTATATTTTAATTTAATAATAATAATAATAACAATAACAACAACAACAACAATTTGTTGATAATGGTGGTGTATAAATAAACTTAACATAGCATATAAAAAAGGTTAACTATACGTTGGTGCAAAACTAGTCTCACTGCTTGTCATTTTAAACAAAAAAATAAAATAAAATGAGTGATATGTGTTTGTTCTAGTTTTCTTACGAAGAAGATATAAATAATCTACATAAATTATAACAATCTAAGATGACTGCATGATCGAATGTTGATTTTTTTAACGTGAAATCACCAATCCACAACTTCTTTTTACATGAAAAATATAAAAATGATCATGTAAATTTTAATAAACTCATTTCCTACTTTAACCACCATTTAATATGTTAAAAAACACAAAAATAACTCAAATAAAAGAAAAATTTATAAAGCTAAAAGGACCAAAAAATTAGTTAAAAGTTGAATATCTGGACTAGATTGTTTTTTTTATCCTGCAAATTTGGGTAATGTAATGCCCCGTTGTTTTTGCTTGGCTTTGAGTCTGGCTATCTTTCTTTTAACTTTATTTTACCAATTTCAATAAAATCTCATTAAATTGGTTTGCAATAAAATTAGAAACTTTGGCCAAACACTTTGAACTGTCAACAGGTAAATATAGAAAAATATCAACGCATCAGATAAAATAAAAAACAACATGAAAAGATAAAATTTAAAAATTTAAAATTGAGTGATGAAAAAAAAAATCAACTATCACGCGAAACCGTGAGGAAGTGAACAACCTTTTAGTTTTATTGTAGTTTTGAAAAAAAATAAAAAAACCAATACCCTGTACAATCCGAATCAAATATATAATGCCCAATGATGTAAGAGTCGGAGGGATTTTTAAAAAATAACACTTCTCAACGTGCAGTATTCAAGACATATAATAGAATAATCCTTCTTGTATATAAACGTGACTGTCAAAATCTCATCGAGGAATATTAAAAAAAATGAAAGAAGGAAGGGCATTGAAGAGTTTGTAGTTGTTTACTGCTAACTGTCTCTAGCATGTATGAAAACGTCGTCGTCGCTGGTAGGTGCCGTTTCGCGGTCGTAACTTCTGATTCCCCCTCCGCTGGGCCCACACGTTCACACCAACTCCAACCGGCCTAACCAAACGATAGATATTCGATCTTTTAATTGGTGACCGTTGTCAAGCAAGAACAAAAGTCGATACTCGCCTCCCATAAAACACAAGGCCTCTAACTAATCGGGCTTCTCTCTAGAAAATCTTAACCGCCAGCGCAGCGGGCAAGGATATTGATTTCAAAGTGCCCTCAATCTTCTCTTTCCTTTTCTCTTAGTAACCGTCAAAACCAAAGCCGCTCTCTTGCCGGCGAGGTCCCATACAAAAGTGCAAGCACTGTCTTTTTCCCTTCCAAACAGGTCTCAACTTGGAATGCCGTATAATAACAGTATATGGTTCGTATTCACCTTTTTTGGCCGTGTAATGCGTGCTAAATCATTGCCTTGTTTTACTACCCCCACTTCTTTTCTTTTTTTGTTTTATCTTCCCCGCCCCTCCCTTTTAAAGATAAAGAGATTCCATTTTTTTCCACCTTCCTTGTCACTGACTGATACTCTTCGCCACCATTTTCTCGTTCTCCGTTTTCCTTCTATCTAGCTCTCGTTCCAAATCAACTAACGTTCTTTCCCTTTGCTGGGTGCTTTATTTTCTTGCGCAGAAAAGAATCTCATTGCTGAGTTTGTGCATCGATGGCTTGGAGGAACATGATGTCATATTTTTCTCTCCCGGATTTCCGTGGTATCTTCCAGGTTTGCTGGACATTGTGTGTGTGTATTTGTGTCTGTGTTGTTTTCTACCTTTTCATGTTTTCAGGTTGTAATCAATGTCATCATCACAGGACTAATTTAATTTTGGAGGCAAATTTGTTAAGATAAATATTCATTAATGTTTAATCATGTTTGAAAAGATATTTGATATTTTGGCTTGTGAAGTTATGATGAAAGGTTATTTTCTTTCTGGGGGATTATATGTTGCTGTGGCTATGGATAATGGACAAAAGTGGTCCATGAACCATGAATTTACGTGGATTGGTCGAGGAACAGGTCTTAAAACTAGATTTTATGGACTCTTGAGTCCTGAGTTTTCTCAAGATGTGCTTCAATTCTTGAATTGTTTGCTAGTTTTAATCAACAGTTTCAAACAGGAATCGATGTCTGGCTAGACAAAGATAAATTTATAGTTGTATACACGTAGAGTGCTGAGTTGTTTAAGTACGAATTTGAATGAGAAATTAGATTTTGTTACTTCACCTTGCCTGTCCGAGCGGATTTTTTTTTCTTTTGTAATGTTTTTACTCTCAATAACAGGGCAGAGTGAGGCAGGCGGGGATGGGTACGCACACTATCAAATCTCATGGAGCCAAACTTGCGAGGGATCACATGCACGATTGGCTTATTTTACTGCTACTTGTGGTGATTGAGGTCATTCTCTACTTAATCCATCCATTTTACCGGTTCGTGGGAAAGGATATGATGACAGACCTGAAATATCCCTTGAAAGAGAACACGGTACCTGTATGGACCGTGCCTGTAAGTTTTCTTCAGCATTAACTTTTCAAGTTGTTTGTTATTTGGAAGGTGTTTAAGTTTTCAGAAAGGTGTGCATCGATTGAACATCCCCAGCCAAATTTAGATTGCATAGTTTCTCAATATTTCTGATTGGGCTTCTGTGTTGCTGGCAATGAGTAAATAATTCATCGGGGTCTTTACCGTTTTGATATTCAGTTGTATGCAGTTTTGTTGCCCGTTGCTGTTTTCCTTTTAGTTTATATTAGAAGGAAAGATGTCTATGATCTGCATCACAGCATCTTAGGTAATTCCATTTGCACTATGCTTTTTATGTTTGACCTGTACTTTTTGGTTTCTCCCATGTTTGTCTTGCTGTAAGTAAATATTAATGAATATTCTCTACGCAATCAAGATCAGGCCTCTTATTTTCTGTGCTGATTACTGCTGTCATCACGGATGCAATAAAAAATGCTGTTGGCAGGCCTCGACCAGACTTCTTTTGGCGTTGCTTTCCTGACGGGAAGGATGTATGTCTCTGTTTCTGTTTTCCCTTTCTTGAACTCTTCGATGCATTTTTTTAACATACAAGTTTTTGGTCTTTGTAATAATTATGTATAATTATCTTTTTCATAAGAGCTGTACATCCTAACAATCTTCTCTCTCTCTTTTTTTTTAAAGCAGTACCTTGACAGCAGTTGAGCTGGTTTTGACCATTTCAACAAGCCGGCCTTAATTTTTTCTTGAATATTTCTTTTTCCTTGAACTTGATATGTCCCCAGCTAGTGGCTGCATTCTGATATAGACCTTAATATTAATTATTTGTGTCGTGTTTACTTGGCGCTATTTACTCTTTTCAATCCTTATAACTTCTTTATTTATTTATTTTGCGTTGTTCAGCTCTATGATAGGTGGGGAAATGTAATCTGTCATGGTAAAGGAAGTGTCGTTAAGGAAGGGCATAAAAGTTTCCCAAGCGGTCATACTTCATGTAAGCTACAGTTCCATCCACATCCTGCAATGCTTATCCCTCTTGTTTTGGCTAATTTATGCTGTGATCTGTACATCAACCATGAGATGATAATATGATATTTAAGTTCAAAATTGTATTTCGATCAACATGACCACGAGGGAAACTATGAAATGGAAATTTGAAACTTTCCTGATGCTATTATTCGGCCACTTCCCATTTAGCATTTCCTATGTCTTGGGTAATTTTCAAAGACAAACAATTAACTTAACTGTGCAAAATATCGAGAAATTAAGTACTTTCAAGTTCTCGCCGAATAAGGCTTAGGTTACTTCTCAGGCACAAAATACTTGTTTTTTCATAGCAGCATTCCAGCTAGCAAGTGTTTCGAAGGAGATATTTGAATGTCATGTCAGGACTCATTAAGTCGACTGATAAAATTAGGACTGCAACGCAGGGTCATTTGCTGGATTAGGTTTTCTCTCACTCTACTTATCTGGAAAAATCAAGGCATTTGATCGGAAAGGGCACGTGGCAAAACTATGCATTGTTTTTCTTCCTCTACTTGCTGCGTCTCTTGTCGCCATCTCTCGAGTTGATGATTACTGGCATCATTGGCAAGATGTGTTCGCTGGAGGCCTTCTAGGTCTGTTTTTTCTGCTATCAATGACTGGTAGAGAAAGGTAGATAAATATGCATTTCAGAATTTAACTTGATTAGCTTTTATATGGTAGCAGGGCTGGTTGTGGCAACATTCTGCTATGCACAGTTTTTCCCACCCCCTTACACCGATGAAGGTAAGATTTCTATTGCCTTTATTTCCCGAACTCATATACTCTTGCGATGCGCTTCATGTTTTCTAGGCTTCTGGATAAGATATTTCATAAAAAGACCAGTAGTATCTTTCACTTAAACATCTTGTCGCCCACACAGTACATCTTGAGCCATTGTTAATTATTTCATTAGACATTAGAAGTTCATCCTATCTCAAGCAGTGCTGGATCTTCCTGTTAATGGATTTTTCATGACAAGATCTATTAGAATAAGAGCGACTCTCTGTTTACACTTTTGTTTCTTTGATGAATTGTTCTAAGCCGTCCCTGTACTTTCTTGACTTCAGGATGGGGACCCTATGCCTATTTCCAGGCTTTGGAGGAGTCACGTTCCAATACAAATGCAGGGCAGTCTATGAATGCACTTGATATGCAGCCCATGAATGCTCATGTCATGAGTCAACGAGGCAGGCAAAACGGAGATGACTTTGCCTCCTTGGACGAATTGGAATCCGGAAGGATGTGAATGTGCGTGTTTATCTACTTCTGTCCATATTTTGTGTGAGTAGTTTTATTATTTTTTTCCTCTTTTTCGGTGGTAAATAGAACGTAGAATGATGATTTACAATTTATTATTGTAGTTAAATGAATGGTAGTGATATGTCAATAATACCTTGAACGCCATGGATGCAATGATCTAAAGATGAAAAGTTTACGAACAAAATATATATATATATAATTTACGGTTAAATAGTGTCTAAAGTTTTTTGAAATAGTTTCTGTTTAGACTAAACTCTTTCTCTCAGGTGAATCTTCTTTGATATTGATCTAAAATTCCAGTCTTAAAATATCAAGTAATGAAGCAAATTTAATCAACCACGAGATCAATTCCTTGAGATTTAAGTATAGCCTACTTAACAGGTCCATCCCATCAACGGTAATCAAGTGCCAGATATTCTAACAACCCTAAGGAATGGCATGCATGTTATTTTAGCCCGAGTTTAATCAGCTGCTGACTACTGTTTGTAATTAATCTTTACATACAATTAAATCGACGTTCCTATCAGTTATGGGTTTTTAGGATAATTCTCCCCCGTATCTAACCCGATTACAATTCTACGATTGCAGCAGCCACGATTGACAGGTGTCATGGTGATTAGATATTATCTTTTAAAATATTTTTAATGTTAAAATAATTTAAAAACATAAAAAAAAAACTAATTATGTTTTAAAAAATCATGCAAAACTCCGGTTGAAACAGGACGGAACACCCCTTTAGTTTTTTTCTGTAGCTTCTCGTCGGCTACAAAGAGCTTCTTCTTCTTGTTCTTATTATAATTATTATTATTATTAGCTTCGGTTATATATTTTATTGGTCATTAACCTCAGAACGGAAGGCAGAAACCTTCTTTTTATCTGAAAGTAAAAGTAGGACGAGAGAGGAGTGCCTTGCAAGTATCGTATTTGAGGAACAGATCTGCGTCCTCAAATTGATTTTTAAAAGGCAAGGACTCTTAACTGCGCTATATGTCATCTTCATGTCACCGTAAAGAAACATCGAGCGTTGTTCAATGTCATGTTGAATTTCAATTACATCAGCTTTTTTATTCAGTTTTGGTTTGTATCAGTACTTCCACTTTCACCTTTAAGATTCGACATCATTCTTGACTTGTTGTTGATCAATAGGAAGACGATACGTGGTGTAAAAAATCATCTAAATACAAAATAGAAAAAAAATCAATTAGGGATATTCTTTATAAAATTGGGGGGATATAAAAAGAATTAAAAAAATAAGTATTAAAAAGTGTTGAGATTTTCCCCTTAAACAAAATTGAAATATAAAGGAAAAAAATCCTTTTGATGTTTAAGATATATTTTACAAATATTTTAATGTTGAGATTTGCCTGCCACATGTCATCATCTTATGGGTCAATGTTAAATATCTTAACGGAATGGAATCGAACCATCGGAACTCCATCGAAAAGGAGTCAATATGTCAGAATAGGGTATTTTATGTCATGGACAAGCAAGGAATACAAGGAAAATTGTTATAAGGATAATTGGCAAATTATCAGAGCATGATCTTAATTGAGCTTTGAATAAAAGCTACACACACACACAAACACCTGTGTGTGTGTGTGTGATATTTTCTAGAATTAATTTGAAAACGAGACGATAGGCATCCAACTGTCCCAATTTTCACACTTTATAATCAAATATCTTGAAATTAATATATTTCAAATAAGTGTTCCATCTATTTAAAATGTACCAATTAAAATTATTTTTGGACGTGTGCCAATTTTTCCTCTTAAATACTAGCATTAAATTAAAAAAAAAACTAATCATGCTTTTATCATGGAGTCTTTCTGATTTTAATGTGGATTCATGTAATAAAATTACTATTTTTTCCTTGACAACACAAACTTATAACATAGTTTGATAGGTAAAATAATTTTTTTTCAGATGATTAAATTGTCAATTCAGAGTTCACAGGGTATTTAGAACCTTTTATTTTCTAGTTGCATAATAAAATTGCTGAACTACCATTATAAGCTATATTAATTGAACTTGGGGTGAGGGGTTTTCAGGCATTTAAAAAAAATGCACGGCGAGATACCTGACTACCTTTAAAGTCTTTAAAGTTATGGTGAAGGGTGTTTTCATCATTTTATGTAGTTTTTTTTATTTGGTAATCGGTAAGTTGACTAAAAAAACATTTAAGTCTTTTAATTATAAATATAATATTATTTTAAATACACAATTAATGTGTGTGCCCACCATGGAAGGCTCTCGCTCCTTTTAAGCACGGCCTCCAAACAATCAAATATTATATTTTAGGGTGATATTTGAAGCGTTTCATTATCTTTTTAACGATGATGAGATGTATATTGTCATCTCCTACATGATGAACCTCGAGAACTTTTTTAGTCTCGTCTTTTTCTCTCTTTTTTTATCTCCAAACTTGAAAATTGCATTGTACTTGTAAATTTTTTATAAAAAATGCAGTTATTTGTTAATTTTATTATATTTAATTTTAATTTTTTTAATTATATCAAATTTAATTTATTTATTTTTTAATTTCATCACTTAAAATTAAATTTTTTCATCAAATTTAGCCCCCTCTTCTTTCGATTGTTTTTTATTTTTACATTTTTCTTGGTAAATTTGTTATTTTAATTTTATCCATTGTATTTTAATTTTATTTTAATTTTTATTATTAATTTTAGTTATTATTATTTTAATTCAATTTCAATATTTTGGTCTGTGTTCTTTTCAATTTTGTTTTGACCTTATACTTTTCTTGATTTTTTTTTTCAATTCAACCCTTAACACTTGATTTTATTTTCTCAGTGAATCAATTTTGATAATTGTTCTTATCAATTTTATTTTTGTCCTGGGTAATTTTTTTTTAAATGTCTTATTTTGATTTTATCTATTATTTGGTTGATTGAGATGGTTATCTATATTGGTCTTTATGGTCTAACCTGATCCTATAACCTATGTCATAAATTTAAAAGATTAAACTGGGTTGAATTTGAACTTTTATCGAGTTATTTTTTAAAATTATTTTTTCTTAATTTCATATTTAAATGTCGTGTTGGCTGGAGATTTATATTCGTTATTTTTTCAATTATATTTTTATAGATTTATCCCAATCTCGTATCTCAAATTATGAACCCAACATGTTTATTTAAATATTTTTTAATGTTGATTTTTTATTTTTTTTATTTTGTACCTTCAACACTTGACTCGTTTAAGAATTAAGTTTTATGATTTTATTTAATTTATTTTTTATAAAATTATCTTGATTTCGTGACAAAGTTGGATATTTGGTTTTCGGCTCAGATAAACTCAAATTATTTTTATTTTTTTAATTTTATTGTTTGATATTTTATCTATTAAAAACTAAGAATCTTTTTTTTTTCATTTTGCTTTCAATGTAATGATTATGTTATTGTTATTTTTTTTGCTTGTTTTAATAAATAATATCATTTAAATCTTTTAAGAAAATTAAAAAATATATATTTTTATGATACTAGTAGGCATTTCTTTTGCATTAAATCACTATTAATTGTTTTTATCTTTACTTGTTGTCTATGTCTTTTCTAATCATATTACCATATTAATTAAATTTATTAAACTTCATCGAATTAATTATCTGAAATTTATATTTTTCTTGATTTTTTAAAAACTCAGGCATTACCTTAATATTTTTTTCACGTTAGAATAAAAATAGCAGGTCACCTTAACTAAATACAAAATACAGGTCCCCTCAGCTTTAAGCTAGATGAAATAAAACACATAGAGAAACCCATTCTCAAAAACCAAGTAAGAAAACCCATAAAAGAAACCATAATTTTACGCCACTGTCAATGTCAAAATTGTTTTTTTTTTTTTTTTTTAATTTAGTTAAAATTAATTTTATTTCAGAGGCTTTATTTTTTCAACCGAGCTTAATCCTCCGTCGTGGGACTCTGCATGTACCCCGTACGAGCATTTAACAAAAATAAAAAAATAAAAATCAACCGATTTTTGAAAACACACTCGATCGTCACACTCTGAATAGCAGGAACACTTATTTGAAAACAGTTAAAGTCAAGATACTGACTTGTAAAAATCATAACATTTGAGCACTCGAGCAGCTCCTATCTCATCTAAAAGCGCGAATCAAATGTTTCCTATTTCACCACAGATCAATTTGAATTTTAAAATAAGAGCTCTATTTGCTTCAAGTTTGCATCGTTCCGGTCTTTAACTTTATCTTGTCTTGGATTTGACGGATCCAATACAACTGTGAAATTGTTGGAAAACGCAACGGAGGTTCATGATTTTAAGGCAAGAAATCCACAAACAAGGCATGCTTTTGAAGCATAATTATCTATCGCAGCTAACGTAAGAAGAAAAAAGGCATCTGGGAAGAAGCTTTAATTGCTGATTTCAGGATTTGTTTGTGTTCAGTCCTTTTCTCCCCTCCTTTTTGTTGCAATTTGTATCAGGAGAAAGTAACCAAGTCATTTGTTGTACGGGAAGGCACCCAGCAGACTCGATGAATGCACGATGTGTGGGTATTCCCCACATTTGTCACCCACTTAGAGGACCGAAAGTCCGAAATCGATTTGATAATCTAGCCTGCCGGAGGAGTGGGTGGAATGGAGGAGACCTGGACCGTGTGAGCCTGTAGAATTGATTTTCAATTCTTTAATCTCCTGGCAAATTATGGCAGTAAATCACGAGAAAAAAGTTATATAAAACAGATTTCATTTACATAATCTTTATTGAAAATCAGAAATGAATTTAACTTTCCTTTGACGTCCCTGTGCTCTGTCCAAATAAACAGAACGAAGTAATTCTTTCACTGTGTGCAAGTCGGAAATGTTTACCTTTTACCACGAGCCGAGCCCGTTTGTTTTTTTTAATATATATATATATATATTTTAAAAGTGTTTTTTTAATTAAAATTATTTTATTTTTTTCTGCACTTGAATATTTTTTTGTGTTTTTATTTGATAACAAAAAAAAAAACCAGTATCTAATTTTTAAACCAAGCAGCCAAGCCAGGGCGTTTTTAGAGGTAGAAAAGGAACAAAAAAGGGTGAGTAACTATAATCGTTCATAGTTCATCAGAAAAATTGATGTGATTTGGTGAATGTTTCTAAAAAAGGCAAAAAGGGACAGATGTGATAAGAAGAGCAGCAAAATAGTTGCCAGTAAAATAAAAATTTA